TCGGGAAAGGGGCACAGGCGGGAGCGTGCTGCCGGCAGTGGACCAGGCCACACGCAGAGCTGTCAGACAACTCTCAAACCCCAAACTCGCGCTCTTCCACAGGGTGCAAGCTGTGAACATCATGAGGTTCACCAAGGCCAAGTGCAGAGTCTTGTATCTGAGTCGGGGCAACCCCTGGTATCAATGCAGGCTCGGGGGTGAAGGGATGGAGAGCAGCCCTGGGTACTTGGGGATACTGGGGGATAAAAAGGTGGACGTGAGCTAACAATGTGTGCTCACAGCCCAGAAGACCGACTGCATCCTGGGCTGCATCAAAAGCAGCGTGGCCAGAAGGTCGAGGGAGGTGATGCTGCCCCCTCTACTCTGCTCTGGGGAGACCCTACCTGGAGTACCTCATCCAGCTGTGGGGCCCTCAGCACAGGAGAGACATAGACCTGTTGGAGTGGGTCCAGAAGAGGCCTCAAAGATGATTAGAGGGCTGGAGCCCCTCTGCTGTGAGGACAGGCTGAGAGAGTTGGGGTTGTTCAGCCTGGAGAAGAGAAGGCTCCAGGGAGACCTTATTGCAGCCTTTCAGTATTTAACGGGGGCCTACAGGAAAGACGGGGACAAGCTTTTAAGTAGGGCCTGTTGTGACAGAACAAGGAGTAACAGTTTTAAACTGAAAGAGGGCAGATTTAGACCAGATACAAGGGAGACATTTTTTACACTGAGGGTGGTGAAACACTGGCCCAGGCTGCTCAGAGAGGTGTTAGATGCCCCATCCCTGGAAACACTCAAGGTCAGGTTGGACAGGGCTCTGAGCAACCTGATCTAGTTGAAGATGTCCCTGCTCATGGCAGGGGGGTTGGACTAGATGACCTTTAAATGTCCCTTCCAACCCAAACTATTCTATGATTCTATAAGCTCTTGTCTGTACCTGTTTGAATAGTTTTATAACCAGGCTATTTGTGACTTCAAAAGGGTTGATCCTGATAGTGTAATACACCTGCAGAGAATACTACTGTTGGTTAAGTCATGCATTTGCCGTTTTTCATAGTCTCAACTGTTCTTGTATCACTCTTGCCTCCCCCCTCACTGCCTAGCTGTGTCTGAGCTCTCTCACTGTTCCCTTGTTACAACTCTGCTGTCCTGTGTCTGCTGCTTAGCTCTGTTTTAATCTGCCTTTCAGTTCGACAGCTCTCTCTGCCTCTTCTAGCAAAACCTGTAGCTTTGATCTTTGAAACTACTGGCAAACTATAGCTATTGCTTTTTTCCACTCAAGTAGCAGGACACCAAATATTGGCAACTGTTAGCATTCCCTAGCTGCCTTTACCTCACTGCAATGGAAAGGTGTTGTCATGTTTCCCTCTCGCAGTATTCAATTCCGCAGTCTTTGCTTATCTGAACAGGTCTAGTGATGCCGTGACGCTGTTTTGCTTCCGTCCAAGTTGGTGGATCTGCTCGTGTGTACAAAGGCTGCAAGGTCATTCTCCAGTTACACAACTGTTCCCCTTGCCTTCTTAAAATATAATTTAATCTCATGCCTTGAAGCCTTTCTTGCTGTGTTCTAGCTTGCTCCTCCAGATGCAGAGGAGTTCCAGAAATGTCACGTGCTTTAAGAGAGTAAAACACAAACACACAGGTATCAAATTTTTGTTGATGGCTTTGCTGTTTCTGGAGAGCAGAAATAGAGGCGCTGTTGGGAACGAGAGCTGGGGCTGCTTTGTAGTGTCTGGTTGTGGCTGTTGTAACTCCCAATGCCTTAGTTTCTCTTGTGTTTGAGCATTCTTACCCCAGGCTTTGCTGAGTAGAAAGCCAGCCTGCATGTCTGAGGGGCATATGTGGTTTTGTTTGTGCTCACTAATTGAATATAGAGTTGGCATGCAAGAAAAGTCAAAACTAAATGCTGTGAGCCTACACCACTATTGCTTCCCTCATGAACGCTTTCTCAACTCTTTCAGGTTCATGCAGGTGAAGTTTGGTTGCGCCCGGACCCAAAAATACAGCAAAAAGAGAAACCAGCAGCCCAGCTTGTGTCCGGCTTACTTTGTGTTGCAATATAAGGAGGATATAGACCAGCTTGTGATCAGTGAACTGGACAGCAACCATGTCCACGCGGACCCGGTGTTTTCCCTGACCAGAGCCACTGCTGCAACAGCAAGCACCACAGCATGCGACGGCCCTGCAACAAAACTGTGTAAGCAGCAGGCAGGTGGGACTGACAGCGGTGCTGTGCTGGATGAGCATTCTCACATGGTCACAGGACAACCGGTGGACGGGATGTCTGCTCTGTACAAGGCTCCCGCGCTCCCTGAGGCAGTGAAGGAAAATGCCTCAGCCTCAGCGCTTGTCAGGATTGCTGAGGTCATGAAAACCTTCCTGAGGGTGGACAGGGGCTCACTGGCCTCAATTAGCGCAGACAGCAACCACGGCCTGGACAGACTCAGCTTCCAGACCAGCAAGATGAAAAGCTTGTTTATGCAGTTCCCCAAGAGCCTCCTGCTGCACAGGGTGCTGAGCGAGGGAGGACATGTTCTCTACGCTTTCATTGTAGAGAGTAAGGAGCGAGTGGGGAAAGTGGTACACTTGTCACTCCTGAAGGATGACACAGGACACAGTGTCAGGAAAATGCTGACCGTCTTCAAGGAGTTCAACCCTGAGTGGCAAAAGGTCCAGGCTGTTTTCGTGGGTGTGTCCTTCTTTCACAAAGCCATCCTCCATGAGCTCTTTCCATCTGCTCAGGTGCTCCTTTCTGTCTATCACACGGTCCGACTGCTTGAGAAGAATGTGAAGGAAGCAGAAATCTCCTCTTCCTTCAAGCAGAACTTAATGCTGGCCTTGCAGAAGGCCGTGTTTGCCACTTCGGCTGCAAGCCTGGATGCCCTATCCCAGCTGATAAAGCACGTGGTCAGCCCAGAGCTGTACGACTACCTGCGAGCCAACTGGTTTTCATGTGAGCTGCTGTGGTGCATGCACACAGAGAAAGGTCTGCACTCCTGCGGCATGCACATGGACAGCCTGGACCTCATCACGCACCGAATATCCAGTCTCTTTGGCCAGCAGCCATCCTTGGAGGCGAGCGTTCTTTGTTTTATGGAGTGCGCAGACTGCCTTGATTCCAGAGGCTTGGAAAGTACGAACTGGGGTTTCTTGAACACCAAGGATGGTCAGAGCAGCCTCTGGGAGACGCCTGATGCGTGCTCTGGTGCTGCAGCAGACCCAGGTCCTGCTTCTGGCTCTCCAAGTCTTGCCGAGCCTACTGGCCAGGCTGCTGTGGCGGAGATGGGCTGCATGCTGGCCACACTCCGGGACGCCTGCACAGACCTGGACTCCTGGCTGTGCCTGAAGGAGTGGGAGGTGGTGCAGACATCCACCCAGCTGCTCAGCCCCATGCCGGGCAGCCTCACCGTTCGGCTGCTGGAAGATGTACACCAGGTGAGCCGGGACTGCCGGCGCTGCACCTGCTGCTTCCACCGCCGCTACCCGCCCCCCCCC